TTATTTAATGATCAATAAGATTACTATTAACAATATGTACCATCTTTTTTTAATATTTAAAGTTTTTAATCAATTCAAACAAGCTAAGATCTATACAAGAATAAATCTAAGAGGATCATACAATTTAGTTTGTATTAAAGAAGGAGATGAATAGAAGACTTTATTTTGAATTAAGTATGAGCATTTTGAATATAATGTCATGTCTTTTGGATCTACAAATACATGTGTATGATGTTTTTTTAGAATTTTTAGATTTTTTTTTATTTGTTATCTAAACGATATTTTAATCTATTCTAAGAGCATAGAAAATTTTAAACTTTATATTTATTGTATTGTATAAAAACTAAGAGATCTAGAACTATATGCTAAAATTAAAAAATACATATTCTATACTTCTCATATTGACTTCTTAAGATACATCATTTCAAATGATAGCTTTATGATGGATCTTAAGAAAGTTCAAACTAATATAGATTGAAATGTTCTAAGAATAATAAAAGACATTCAATGTTTTTTTTTTTAATTTTTTAATTATTATCAATTTTTTATCATGAAGTTTTCTCAAGTTGTAGCTCCACTTATACGTGTAACTTATAAAAATAAACTTCAGTAGAATAAAAAAGCTCAATAAACACTTGAAGCTTTAAAAAAAAATTTATTTTTTCACTAATTTTATATTGTGTCAATTTCTTTTTTATATTTTTTATAGAAATAAATACATTAAACCTTACTTTTAATGCAATATTTTCATAAATAAAATATATGATAAACTTCATTATATTATTTTTTATTCAAAAAAATATTTAGTAGCAAAGATCAACTATGAAATTCACAAAAAAGAATTTTTTGCAATTAATAATTTATATCAAGAATGGTAATATTATTTAGAAGATATTTTATGTCAAATGATTCAAGAACCTTGAATATTTTATATCAATATATATTTTAAATTATTGCCAAGCTCATTGAAGCATGTCTTTCTTAAGATTTGAATTTAAGATTATATATTAGCTAAAAAAATAATAAGATTTATAAAATATTATTTTTAGACATTCTGATCTTGTATCAAAAGAAGAAAATTCATCTTTTGATGAACAATGGACAATTCTTTTGAAGCCAAAGAAATTTTATTTTTAAGCAATAAAATTAATATCAATTGTTAATTTTTAAGTAATTTTATTCAATAATAATGATTAATTTTCTTATTTGTGATATTAATTATAATTAAGTATAATTATAAGTTCTTTAAGCTCGTCATAACTTTTCAATTTTAGAACATTTTGAATACAAAAATATCTTCGAATTATTATTAAAAGATTTTTAATAGCCTAAAATTTAAATAAGAGTTAAAAGATTTATACAATCATATAATATTTATTCATAATCAAAAACTCTTCATCATCAATCTTATAGACTTTTACAACTACTACATATATTAGAACATCTATAGTCTTCTATTTTTATAGATTTTATCATAGATCTTTTGATCTAAAGTTTATATAAATTAATATTTGTAATAGTAGATTGTTTAACTAAGATGACATATTTTGTATCATGTACAAAAATTATTACAAATAAAGAAATAGTTATTTTTTTTTTAACAATATTTATTGCTATCATAGATTGGCAAAGAATATTATATTGGATAAAGGATCTCAACTTATATTAAGGCTTTAGAGAATAATTTTTAAAATATTAAAAATGGATACAATATTATCTTAAACTTTTCATCTTTAAATTGATAAAAAAATTAAATAAATAAATTAAATTTTAGAAAAATATTTATGATGCACCATCAACTACCATTAAAATAATTAAATAGCTTTCTTGCTATTGGAAGAGTTATTATTATTATTTTTATAATAGTAAAATTCATTCTTCTATTCAATAATTTTTTTTTATTAATTATGATTATTATCCATAATTTGATACTTTTGACTCTAAAAAAATTGATTATTGTAAGGCAGAAGATTTTATAAATTAAAGCTATATGCTTTAATGAAGACATTATATAAAGAAGCTCAAAAACAACAAAAAATCAATGCAAATTCTTATTGCAAGTAATAATCTCAATTCTATGTTGGTTATAAGATATGATTATTTTTTCATAATATTAAAACTAGCTATCATTATGACAACTTGGATTATCATAGACTTAGACCATTTCTTCTTTGTAAAAAGATCAATCAAATTGTATATTGATTGTACCTACTAAAACTTATGAAAATCCATCTTATATTTTACATGTCTCTTTTTAAGCCATACAAGACTTTGAATACCTTAGAAAAAAATAAATATTACTTTTTCTTTTAGAAATGGATAATAATCAAGAATTTTGAAGTCAAAGAAGTTGTAGACTAAAGGTAGTGCCAAAATAGGTTAGAATAACTTCTATATTAGCTAGGATATGATATTAATAAATGCACATGGAAGTCAATCAAGAATCTTACAAGTATTAAAGAAAAGGATAAATCTTTTCATCAATAACAATTATCAAAACCTAGATAAAGAGACAAAAAATTCTTTGCTATAAAAGAAATAAAGTTCAATGAAGAATATATTTTATCTTTTACTGTTATTTTTAATTTCTTTTTATTTATGATATTAGTGAAATAAAAAATTAATAAATAATAGATTCAATTCAAGAACTATTATTTATTGTATAAGATATTCTAACCTTTTAAAATTATGATACTTGATTTTATATGTGTTTAACTATAGTTTTGAACCTTATATACAAAACCAAGTATCACAACTTTAGAAGACACTCTAAATATTTGGTAATATTATTAGATATAAAAACCATTCTTAATGATATTTTAATTTTTTTATTTGAAGTAAATTATAAAGGCTTTAATAATGATGAAATATCACAATGGACTTTTTTCCTTGTATTGAATATTATTAATGGTTGAAAAGATCTATCAACTATCTTTGAAGCCTACAAAGATTAGACTATGTGACAAATATAATTTGTTACACCTTGGTCTTTTTTAATATATAATTATTATTCTTTGTAGAATTCATCTTTAAAAAAGGAAGTAATATGACAAATATCTATATTTTATTTAATAATTATTCAAATAAAAGTAGATAAAAATAAATAAATAAATAAATATCTTATAGAAAAGCTTCTTAGAAGCTCTATAGATGCAGCATTGCTTTTATATGTGTCTATAGATGATTGACAAGTTGAAAATTAGGCCAATAAATTGGCTATATATTACATATGTTGGCCACTTGTGGTACAAGTTGGCCTTGTGATGCACATACAAAAAGCTTATCTTATAAGATAAACATATGACATGTGAGTTAGACACATATTGAAGGTCTTATAAAATGTTGCTATATAGCTTGTAATTAGATAGTGTATGTTGAAGCAAGAGTGATGCTTTCCTCAAGCTTGTCAATTCTTTTCTTACTTCTAATTTAGTTTCAAGAGTCTCTAGTTTCTTAGTCTTTGGCAAAAGCCATTTCAATTTCTTTATATATATATATATACATACTTATTTCTTCTTTATCATCATCCTTTGAGAAATGTCTTATTTATTTACATTCATTGAATTCTTATTTTAAACATATATAGATAAAAAATAATAATAATTAATTTAATTTAAAATATAATCAAAATATATATATTATAATTATATATATTCATATAAGTGTGTTTATTTTAATTTATTTTATTAATATATTTGAATGTATCATATTAAAATAAAATATATTGATATAAAGTATTAATAAAAGATAAAAGAATAAATATTTTAATTTATAATATTATTCTATATAATACCTAATTTTAAATCTATTAATGATAATTTTAGAAAAATAAATTAAAATTAATACATACAATAGAATTTAGTTACTTTGACCATATCAATAATAATTTATAAATAATAAAAATAGAATTAATATATAAATAAATTTTCATATATTTTTTATTATTTTATTAATCCAATATAAATTAGGGGATAAGAGAGATAAAAAGATTAGAAAGCTAAGCATATTTGAAAAAAAAATTAAAAAAGATGTATATAAGATTTATTAAGATATATAAATTTTATAAAAATAAAGTAATTTTTTATTATAATTTTATTTTTGAAAATGATTGATCATATCAATTTATTACTTTATAATTCATTTTGAAAAATTTTACTTAAATTTGCACAATATATGATATAAAAACATACAAACTATTAAGAATTATAATAAATTTCTATTTGAAAAATCTTCATAAATTTAAAATAATTAAATATAATTAATATTCTAAATTAGACTAAGATATTTTAGATTTTAAAAAAATATTTTTTAATAATATAATTAGTTTTATTCAATCTTAAAATATTTTTGATATATTTATTAATTATTAATCCTTAGATTATATATATGACTTTAAAATAGATATTTTATAATATTACTAGGATCTGAGATTGGTGGGTACAGTAATTAAAAAGTGAACAGAAAATACACATAAAATCTGTGAAGGAAATTAGCTTCTTCTTAGAATGAAGGTTTACTCCACAATAATTGAGAACATCTGCACTTATACAAGAATACAAGTAATGACAACATCAATTAAATTTATTAATATTAAAATTGAAGAGTACAGTTTTCACCTGTGTGGTTTAACAATACAATCATATTTCTTGCTATTCAGTTTTAAGAGAAAAAACATTTTTACTTTGTAATGTGTAATCTCTTAATTTATTAGTACAAATCATGGATACATGATATGAGTTTTGAATATTTAGAATTTAAAATCCAAATCAAATGTGTACGAAATCCTATGGGTTAATAGTTTGGAAATGCTGGTCAATTTGTTTATTTAGAAATGCCCCTGTATTTTGGAAAAACACAGTCATCGACGAACTTTTGGATGCTAAACATCCCAAAAATTCTCCATTATCACAGGGATGAAGTTAAAACGGGTAGATGAAAAATAATAGTCCTGTTAAAGCAACAGTGGACATTTCAGAGTTAAAGTCTGGTTGTGATCCTAAGACGGGAATGAGGACGGGTTCACCTCGTCGGCAGCCAGAGGAGTCTCTGTCTGTCTCTCCGTCTCTGTCCCTCTCCCTCTTGCTTTCTCTCTCTCTCCTTCCCTTGTGTTGATAATGGAGTAATCTTTTACAGGTATTGCGTCCCATCTATTCAATCTGCACATTGGCCCATCTTCTGTATTCTAACCATGTCTCACGGGTCGTCGCATTCAATAGTCTTTTTGCTCTCTCTACTCTTGTGCCTTCGTGCTTCCCAGTGGTGAGCTCTTGCGATGTTGCTTCTGGCAAACTTCCGATTTCACTATCCCTTCTTGAAGTTTACGAGAGGCAAGTGCCTGTGTATATCCTCGTCATAACTATTCTTGCATACGCTTTTTCTGTGGCATCCTCCAAGTGATTCCCTGCTCCCTGCCGTTTCTGCCATGTAACCCTAATTATAATTCAGGCATCTTTCAGCATCCGCTTCCTAAAATTCAGACAGAAACTTTGTCTTCAAAGTATCAGCAGCACCACCTCATCTTATCGGGCTTCAGCTATGCCACCTTTCACTCCCTGCTTCGGTTTTTCTTTGCCTTTACTAATCACCTGTATGTATCTTCTTCTTCCTTTACTATCCGCGCAATTGTTTCTTGGCTACGAAAATCTGCACACGTTGTTTTGTCTCCACTGTCTAGGTCTTGTATGATTTGCATTCTCTCTTGTCTCTGTTGATCACCATGTTAAACATAGGTTTAAGTGTACTACAGAATTCTCTTGTCGTGTCTTCTGAATTTGCTGGCTTGGCTTTGTTTGCAGGTTTCTTAACATGTCCATGGATAGAACTCGTAACTGCTTCTGCAGCACCGCTCTACAATCATCGTTCATGTGAGGCAGCAGTGCAGGAATGGTCAAATAAGGAGAAACTGGCCTTGAACAAAGAGCTGAAATTGGTGCAGCCCGGGAGCAGGAAAATTCTGGAACTTCTGTTCTTTTTGCATATTCCTCGAACCGGCGGCCGGACTTATCACCAGTGGTATGGATTTACTTCAAGTTTCAAATTGAGCCATCTTCTGAGTGCAGCGTGTCTTGAATTATTAAGTTTATTCTATGCTAAAGATAAAGAAAAATCACTCTAAAATATTGGAGTTAGAATGTTTCAAAGTTGTGTCATTAGCCCGTGTTGTTGAAGTACGACTCAGGCGCTTCACGTGCAGGTACAGCTCTAGGCTGTGCACGTAGACTGTTGCGCTTTGTGTGGGCTGGATAAGTTATGTTTTGTGCGGAATGTGTCATGTTCTAATTGTGGTTGTTGATCTTGTCTCGAGTAGTTTCCTGAAGAACCTATATTCTCCGAATGATCGGTGTCCTCGTTCATACGACAAACTCCGCCTGGACTTGAGGTTGTTGCAGACTCTGCGAATTTTGAATTTTTGCTGGCTTTTGCGTAGTTTGAATGTCCAAAAGATGACATAAATTCACTATTGGGAAGCGAAGGATCTCACTTTATTTTCGCGTTTCTATCTAGAGTTAAAATAGTTATTAGTAATTAAACTATCATGGCATTTGTTTCAATTATGTGTTAGCCCTTCCAGCAGTGATATTTTCATTCTGGCTATCTAACTCTCCTCAAAATTGTCGACAAGAATATTGTGATCTTCAAGTATTGGTGATCGTACGATTTCAGCTGACTAACATTTAGGGTTAGGGCTTGAGGGTGCAGACAGCCCAGCTGCAAGCTTTTGTCTTCACACGATGACATGAGCATTTTGAGCAAGATACCAAGCAGAGCATCTGTTGTAACGAATTTGCGCAACCCAGTGAATCGTGTGTTGAGCACCTATGAGTTTTCAGTGGAAGTTGCTGCTCGATTTTTGCGTCTAAAATCGATTAATTCATCCCGTAGTCCTCTCCCCCTTGCTAAATCTCCATCGCAGCTTGTTAGCACACTTACTATCTGGCCTTGGAAGTACTTGGTCCCCTTCATGCAACATGATATTTTCACACGGGTAAAGCAACAGGCAGACTTATCCATAATCTGTGAGCGTTTGTAATGAGGAGTGGTTTATTTGAACTTTTAAGCAAGATGTCGACAGTTCTAGCCAGCTATAAACAGGATTGAGACATTAATTTTAAATCATTTTGGCAAATATTTGGAGTGTTGGGTGTCAGTTTGTTTCCACATTGTCTGAGAACTATAATTGATTGCAATCTTGTTTAATTTGAGGTGAGGTGTGTTGAGAACAAGATTTGATTTATGATCGGTCTTCCTGCACGCATGAAGTTGGGCATGTTCTCCTTTGCTTACTTTGTCCAGTCCTGTTGAATTAGGCCTTTGAAAGAATATATCACTGGCATTGTATTTGCAGGGTGTGGAGAACTGGCTTCTTTTCAATTGTGGCCTATTTATTACCAATTATATGTATTGGAGATATGAAACAGCTGATTATGTGTTGTGGGTTGCAGCGTGATGCTAGGTTAGAAGGGAAGGTCAATTGGCCACAATCCACCAATACAACGTACGATGCGCCTACGATCACCATGCCATTAACTGAATTCATACATCATCCAGTAGCTCATGAGCTTGTCCATAATGGTGCTACATTTCAGGTCTCACTATGCCCTGTAACTCTTCACATAGGTTTGTAGAGCGATCGTCGTCACCTGCGCTAATCCGCTCTTTGACCTTTGTCAATTCGCTGCCTTCTACAGAACTGGTATAGTTATTTTGCAACGGCTGAGCTGTTCTGAATTTAATTTTAGGTTCCTGTTTTGACAGTGCCAATCGGGAATGCGTGGGATGCGTGGTCGTGGGTGTGGGGTGTGGGGTGTGGTCGAGAGATCAGCCTGTCTCTGGATATTTCTGAATAATCTTGTTTCACGGTACAGGTTGCAGGTTTGACAAATAATTCGTGTAATGAAGATGCTGTGATGGTTCGAAAATGTAGTAGCCTGTATCCTAAGCTTGGCCATCAAGTGCTTGACGTTGCAAAGGTGGGTTTCTGGACTTTGCTAACTCGGTATCTTGAGCATTTCCTTGTGAATATAATCATTATTTCTTGGTATTGATTTGGAATCTATGAATTGGTGTACCTGATACGTTTTGTTCTGATATACTTCCGTGTATTGCTGATGCAGAGACGCTTAGATTATATGCTCTTTGTAGGCTTAACAGAGAAGCACCAGGAGTCGGCCACCATCTTTTTCTCCCTTGTGGCTGATCAAGCCCAAGTCCAATCGAAAGCTATGCAAGAGATTTTGGGTCAAAATGCATCTGTTCCAGGTCTGATGGGGATCTCGAGCTCGTTTTTGTTGTGGATATGGTCCTTTTCTTTCCAAGATTTACTACTTCGACAACATAGCTGTGTGCTCAATTTACAGGATCTACCTTAAAAAGTAGACAAATCGTACAATGGTAGAATACATGTGGGTGCTCTGTTGGCCTTCTCATAGCACCACCATCAACAGACTCTTTATTCAGCCGGTTCTTCGGGACGCGGAGTTCTTTGCTAGAGATCTCCAGTACTGACTGACAACGACAGTGCAGGAGAAGGATCCACGATTACTTCTATTCGCAGCGTATAAATCTTGCCTTGCCAGCCTGCGCTCCTCCCATGCCATTCGTCGAGCTGCTACATTGCAGCTCATAAGCCCAGTCAGATTTTCCCAAGAGGTTCGTGGTGCCTCCAGTTGTGGAATTTTATCAACGTAGTCTAAACAGCCCCATAGATGTAGTTTTGTTGACAGATGCAACAATTTATAGCGAATGTGCAGTTAAGTTACACATTGGTTAGGCAAAATTCATCAACTGTTTCGAGATTTGCACGTTGTTATTGATTGCTGTTTTTATTATCTATTGCACAGGAGAGAAAGCGTATTCCATCTGCTGTTCTGGAGGAGATCGTTTCCTTAAATAACTTAGATATGGAGCTACATGAACATGCCAAGAAACTTTTTGCCAAGCAGCAGAGACATTTCACAACATCAACGGACCCTCAGGTATTACATTCGAAAAATGTCTCACTGTGCAATTAGACTTTTGTTCAAAAGAGTTTAATGAGTTTTTGCCCTTACATGACAATTTTAAGTCGAACTTTGCTTCGGTTTGAGACTTATTGTAAATGTCGTGGTGGGAGGAGCTGTGTTTGTAGCTGTCATTTGATTATTATACATACTCTACTTACTTTTTCCTTTATTCTTTTTTTGAAGAAATGAAAAAGAGATGTTTATTCCTTTAAGTAAAGCAAGCATCTTACGATTGGAACCATAGGCTTTTTGTGTGTACAATCTCTAATTTCACTCTGTAGGAATTTTAATTTATTGTTGAAAATAGGGTACATTCCCACTTTTGGTACCAAATTAGTATCTAATGGGTCTAAGGGGTGTGGGGTTTACGGTTGGCTGCAGGTTAAGCAAGACCAAACGGTTCTGTCAATGTTTCTCATCCTTAGCATCAGTATGATTTTACTAATCTTAGGACTTTTAGTTGCACTAAGAGTTCGTAAAAGAGTAGGGAATGACTGGTTGCCTTTCTGGTTGCGACGGCTATTATTGTTGCAAGTTCATGAAAAGCTGTAGGTAATTGATTTCTTGATTGAGATCATGTCTTATTAAGAGAGTGCCGAAAATTTGGTATACTAATATGAAGTGAAACTATTCTGCAGAGTGCATGTTATTTACATTATTGAATCCCTGATTTAGTCTGGCATGGTGCATGATGGCGGAGCCGCTAATGTCCCTGAGTGCAAGTTTCTAAGTGATCGTTTAAGAAGGGAAGCTTTTAGGAGCACGTAGAAGCACAATTTACAAACTATCCGCAGATTGGTACACAAAACCTCTGGGTATTACAAAAAGGTTATGACTAATTCGTTTTTGCGAACCTAGACCTAAGTTGTTTTACATAATAAACATCTTATGTAAGAAATATTTCAGAGTGAAGTATAATAGTTTTAAAGATATCAAAAAATAAGAACTTACACGCACATTTACAATAATATAGTTTCAAGTATGGTGATGTAGTAATCATTATGTTCAAGTCTGGTAATAGTTAAAAACAACCACGAAATTGCCTGTTGGTTGAAATTATAAATGTGGGACTTTTCGTTGAACGGAATTCTTGATGATGTGAAAATAATATTACAGATACAGTTAACACATAATTTCATTAAATTTAAATAAGATTTCTAGATCGAATTTTTAGATCCATCTCGTTAGAATTCTTGTGAGGAATCCCACCATAGGAGAATTTAGCACCCTTTTTGAACCCATATCATACGCAACAGACAGTCTTTTTGCTAACTACAAAAAAGATTTGTTACTTTGCTAAGTCCAACTATAGATTATTTATCAATAACTTTTTTTATCAGTGAACAAGGGATAAAATCTTCATAAATAATTACTATTCTTATAAAAGCCTCAGTTTCTTCATTCAGTCTATGTGTTCAAGTCTAAAACCTGTCAAAATCCTTACTGACCCTCCCAACATATTGCAATTTCCTTGACTTATCAATTAGCCTGTTCAATTCTTAAAAGGAAGCCTTTTGATAATAAGCCCCTTGTTCTGTTGCGAAGTGTAGATCGCGACTGCTTAAGTGGACAAGTATAATGAGCATCATTGACAAGCATGGAACCTCGAAATTAGTGGCTTATTTTCACTCCAATGTGGCTGTACTTAAATAAGAGGAAACGCAAAGAACAAGTCAGCAACAGAAGCTTCGAGACATTGTTCAAAGAGGAAGAGACAGAACAGGGTCTCCGCTCCATTGATGCTCAGTCGTTGTTCACGTGTATAGCTTAACATTCCGTTTAAAACAATCAACTGAATTTTAACACTGACAATTAAACACTTAAACGACCGTGTGAGGACTAACATGATTCAGAACACTGAGGGACCTCAACCTGATTTTCATTAAACTAGTACTTCCCAGGAGCTAAAATTCTCCCGATTCGTTGCACAGCATCAGGGGGTACATCCCTCCCAGGAACATTAACCTTCAAAAGAGCTGAATATCTGCAAATAAACATTACAAATGTTCAGAATTGGCTCATATAAATTTATTTGCGCTTAAACTACGTGGACAAATCGATTACCACACTAAAAAATTCATTGAAATTGTAAACATGGGAAGACTCCCGATGCTAGTTTCTAGTAACTTCCTGTATATTTCGATTAGTGCAGATTTTTGAATTGGAATAGGTGCACACAAATGAGTAAACAGATGCATACTCAACTAAAAAGTACCACATAGATGACAAGAACATCACTTGGAGTCTTTCAAGCATGGTTACTACTTTATCAAAGAAAAGGAGAGGAAGATAGACAACCAAGAATCTTACTCAGAGAAAGAGAAAAGGGCGTCATGCTCTAAAACAAATGCATGGAGTGCCTGCAAAACAGCCATCCCGTTGTGTTTTAATGTGTAGTCTCAAGCAGGATGCTGCCGAGTCAACATCAATACTTTCGATTGCTTTGAAGCCCCTTAATGAACTGTAGTTAATGGAGTTTACGAACGTTCGCCTTTCTCACCAAAAAATTTATATACAATCGCAAGTCCATTTTATAACTTTCTACTACGGTTTGCTAGCCACCACTCTGATGGCGGTTGGCAATAATTGGCAATTCGCTCAAGTAGATGCATGATGCGAGAGAATCACAAAAATTCTAAGTTTATATAGTCATGCAATAACTGAAGTCTGAGGCTGTAAGCTTCATGCGCCAAATTAATACCCCTTGTCCTAACACCACGAACATAATTGAACACCTCGTAAAGAGATCAGGATTGTTTCGCAAAGTACCTCAAAGGGAAGATTTAAGCACTCGAAGTAGGTCCGCACACGATCAAGTCGCTCTTCGAGAAATTGACCACTGCTTGCCGCCAGTGAAGCCAATGCCTATAGAAACAAATCGTCAAAAGAATGAACTTAAAGGCCGTATCATTAAATCGCTACAATCACAAAAGATTATTCTCAGGCCTGAGCCCAAAGAAGAGGTACCATAACGACGAAACAGTTAAGTGAAAAAAATTCACTACCTGCTGAAGTGCGATGCAGTTGCGGCAGATTTGGCGTACTCCCAGCATATTCACGGATTTCATCTCATGCAAGCTCTGGATAAGCAATTGAAAGGACGACACAATATAAACAGCAATACTTGTCATCTAATGCGGATTTAACTATGTACAAATGAATACGTGAAGGAGATATCCTGGACGCTAAAATAATCAGAGTGGTGGCTAGCAAACCGTAGTAGAAATCAACGCAAAGGAGAGAATACAAGGCAAAAGACTAATTTTCTTTCACTGAAAGCAAGATTGCAGAGAAATTATAAATTGATGGCAACAAAAGACGGCTTGCAAGATACAGAGTATCAAAGTACATTTACTGACATTGTTCAAAAGATATTGTTCAAAAGACATAGTGTCGAAATTGTTCAAAAGATAGGCAGCAAAAACATACGAAAAATATCCCTAGTAAATCTGTACCTTAATGAAGGCTGTAGCTGACACACTGCAGATACCACCAAAAATGTAACTACGTTTTAATGGTGGCACATAGGCAGCCATTTCCTCATCCCTTCTAGCAATCTGCGAAAAGAGGTAATCGAAACAAATGATTAGATATCAAGTAGAGATTTCTAGCTCATCAGTAGTCTCATTGACTCAAGCATGAACTTACTGCTCCCTATATGCAGATGCTCCGTAATTTCAAAAGTAGTCCAGTGCTTGTAGCTCAAAGTTGCAGTTTCAAACAAACCCCCCAATAGCCATCCTACGCACGACTTGAAAGAAGAGAGGACAGAATGTATACCTGGGTTGTGAGACCAACAATGAAATCTTCTGGTTCTTCAGCATCTTGGTCAGTCACATATACTCTTCCCGCCATGCTCTGCACTTAAACCACGACAGAACAGTCTTTACGAGGGGAGACTGAACAAGATAAGTCGTTCTGAATTCCTGAACAAGGACTGACTCACATAGATTATGAAACACTCATACATGTCATGGTACACTAGTATCTACAAATGACCCAAAAAGGAAACTTCTATGGAACAGCCCCAGGCATACGACGCAGAGCTTGGATATTCACATTGCAAAAGCCCAAAATTCTTGATTAAAACGTAACTGCATTGTAACTGATAGACCTCACCTGGAGATGATATATCGCCTCTAATTGCATCTCAACTCTGAGAGTTCGCAGACACTCAGCAGATAAAGCACTGTATTTCTCAGCTAAGATGCCTAGGCCTGCAGTGAGTACGCTGCTGGTACGACGATGATGATGGACTCGATGTACTGAGCTTTTCCTCTTCATTGGGGATGCTGGCGTAGTAGGTTGTCGCTGACCTAATCTGTCACATGTAGGATCTTCATCAGGCACTGTTGTATTAAGGAGACATCCAGTTACACTTTGTCACAGCAACAACTTACCAAGTAAATTACAATTCGAATAGAGCAAGTCAGCTCATGTGGTAATGATCAACTCAATGTCATTTTTACACGGTGAAAACCGTCAGGAAGGCAGAGTGTATCTTACTACCGACATTGCAAGAAAACCATCAAGTCCACAATTACAGCTTAATTTAAGACGCGCATGGCAATTGCAACAATATTCAAAAATGCCAAGGATTTTAGAAGGGTAGGGTACTCACTGTTGCGCTGACTCAGACAAGAAGTCCAGTGAATCACTTAGAGCAGCTAACAGAACAAGTTTATGATTATCAGTTATCAATTGCTCCTGTTCAAAGCATTCAACTTAATGTGTCAACCATGCCATTCTTAGCCACGCTTTGTCAAAAACTTCACCTAAGGAGAAATATTGGAGCAATACACTCCTACAAGGCTTGAGATTATAACCAGATTTTTTTACTTCAATTAGATAAAATATCCTGGGAATGTCACTACTAACATTGTCAGAATATTACAACATATACTGAGATGCCTTTCAACAATGTCCTTTGTACTAATAATACAACTACAACAAACGAATTTGGAGACACAAATGGTAATCATATTATTAAGCTAAAATGCAGTTAGCAGTAACTTTAAGCACGAAAATGTTATAAAGCTCTGAAAATATTAGTCCGTGAAGAAGGTGAAGCACTAATTCATCAAAATCGTAAATTCACCCACCTGCTTAATAGGTCGTAAGCTGAGAAGGAGATTGTTTAGCTCCATCTCTACTTCTAATCCTTCCATGTCATATGGTCCATCAACATTTACTCTCTGACCAAGCTGCAAGAGATAGGCCGCATCCAGCAAGGTATTAGCCGGTTCTTGCTTCATCAAATTGGCGATATCCGGTCTCCCAATTACGCTTGAGCTCAGACTACCCAGAACTGCCTGCATTATCAAGCATCTGATTCATTTACGAGGTTTCTGCCACTCCATCTCATATGTACATGTAAAAAATATCATATGCGGACGAGCTTCACAATCAGCAACACAAACGTCTGTTAGACAAAAAACCACCTCAGTGTAAGCAGCCCGACAACGCTCTAATGTGCGTTCAAGAAGTGTTTGAACAAGCTCCAAAATCTCCCCGGCGTACATGGGCATTGCTTGAGCCCATCCAAGAACCTAGTAACACATGAGACAATTGTATTCGAGATGATTCTGTTTAATACAAACGTATAGGTACGGATAGCCAAAACCCTAAGTGGCTCTTAGACTGTACCAACACAGAGGTTAGAATGAACAATGGTTGAAACAGAATCTTTCTGGTCAGCACGAAATAAATTGAAGTGGTTAAAAAGACACCCACTTCCGTTATCAATTGATTTGCTGCCAAAGGCCCATGTAAAACAGGCCTGCCTCGCTCCAGAGCTGGCTCATACACAGCCCCCGGGTGAGCCTTCAGTCGAAATGCAGATGGGCCTGTAACATATGAATGAGACAGCATTCGTGTTGTCAACTAAGAAATCACTTGAAAGAGTAAGAGGAACATAGCAATTTCGACTCGAAGAAGTTGATGTCTCATGGATTCATTACGACGTTTTAAAACACCTGCCCTACAGCACGTCCCAAAAGCCACAAAACTTACTTGCAAGAGCGTCAGCCACACGTGTACGATAATCCACGTACACAATAGGGAGAAACTGATCTTTCACGAAGTTTTCAATGAAACTCTGTAGACCTTCATTTCTGTTACAGAAAACAAACAATTAGACATACACAAACAGTCCATATAACCAGCTTCTAAATTTGTCCACTATCTTATCTAAAACTATCTAGTGGAATAATCAGAAGAGTAACCAGTCATGAGTAAAGAGGAAAACGAATATCACAATGTAAAGGTCCGGACATGGATACAACAAGTTCGACACCACAACTTACCCAAGGTTGGCATACTTCTTAGGGAGCAGAGACACGACTTTATCAGTAAACTGCATATACAGTAAAATGGTTAGCAAATGTTTACATTAGTGATTATCGCAACAACCAGAGTGCATCTATTTGGCAAGAAATATCTTTTAACAAAGGCGTTCAGAATGAATCAATAAATTAAGATTCAAGATGTTTACGCTCTCTACCACGATATTCTCACGCATTATGAATCTTGAAATTTCAACACTTAACCAAACATAATCACAAAAAAAGAATAAGCATGGTGGTTGCAAGTGTGCCTGAAGAATAGGACGGTAAACGGCAGACGTAAGATATATGCCACGTTCTGGAAGAACAGCACTTGTTCCATAACCTTCTTGAGAGGCGTTCGAGGTTCTTCTATTACGCGTACTGCGCAAACCCTCACCACTTAAACGGTCGTTCGCTTCTGCATAACCCAAGGTGACATTGTTGAGAAATAGTGTAATGCAGAGGTTAAAGAAAACAGTGACCAAACATTAGGTTTCAATCTAGAGGCATTCGGATGAAAATCTTGCACAACATACCAGGTAAACTGAGTACTGTGTCAGTGAAACGAAAAGCAAACGACAATCCCTCTTCAGATGCCCCTCTGCGCAAAACATCATGCAACAGTTAGATGTGTAGAAGAAGATGCAAAACCCATCTGCCACAGTTTTGAGTTCACTGTTACACGGAATGTGAATAACATTAAAGTGCAAGAACCCTCCAGGCTCAGAGGTGTTTTTAGTAAGTAAAAATTCCATTGGATAAAGACCATCAAAGTGTATGTAAATTATGTGAGCAAGACCATATCTACTGAAATTTGACCAACAAAACTTGAAAAAAATAGATGTATAGAGTCATTCCATAATTACAAACATTCAATAATTTATTTTAAGGCTGGTGAATGAAAAACAAACTTTGGGGCTAAACTGGCGTCATCCTTTTTGTGCACCGCATGCCGTTTCCTGTACAGACACAAAGAGTTGGAATATGAATATTTTAATATGAAGTATGCGAAGAGTAATATAATGACAAAACGAATTAAAGTAAAATATAATTAACTATAAATTAAAAAACAAAACAATTACACGATCTAATATGGCATGATTCTGATTGTGATAAAAGGACAATCGTGATCCACTGTACACCCAAAAACTAACTTAATAAGTGTAATACAAAGCCCAGTCATGAACATGACACTTTAAATAGTGAAAAGATTGGAAACGTTTAACTAGTCGTTTAATGATACCTTCCTACTTCAACCCAACATGTGATAATATCTTTTACTCTTCAGTTCCTAAAATAGCTTTACCCTTATTTTATGCACGATTATGTTATGAACAAAATTTTAATCCAAGCGCACACAGCTAGGACATACTTTGCCACATGAGGATCAGCTTTGCTGGCCAATCTAGCTGTTTGTACCGCTGCATCGGCAGAAGCAGCATCAGGTGTTGCCCGTAAGATGTCGCATATAAGCTGCTGACATTCACTCTGAAAACAATAACACAGTACACTTAAGTTGCGTGATGAAGCCATACCAGAAGGATATAAAAATAGCTTACACAAAGTGCTACCGTTGTCGACAGCTTGAAATCTAAGGTAGAGAACTGCAAGGGCACGACAGCCCACCTGCTGGAAACAACAAAAGCGTACTTATGCATGGACCACCATGTTTAGTTTATCTACAGCCCGATGGAATGTTATACAAATGTGTTCCGATGGGAATACCTGGATAACAGTCAGTGCAAACCCTAGGCTATAGCCTCCAGTTGCTCCACTGATGTCTGCATCATTGAGCCATGCAAAGTTACCATTACCCGGGGAAGCATAAGCACCACCATGATCGCCCACATTAGCTTTAGCCTCCATTAACTCCCCGACCAGAACATGGTTTTCTGCACACAAATGAAGACATAAGTGTCACGCTTACAGCTGAACAACCATGAGATAAGGCCTATAAGATGAACCAGTCCCTTGCACCTGTCCATTGTGAAAGTCGTGAACAGCTCAAGCTAAAAGCATTACAAGCGTTGTCAGAGCTATTCAGGCATCAACACAACCACCTGACGCAAGCATTCGAACGTTACCGATGGTCAGTCAATCTTCCAGGTAGAAAAGATGGAATTACCAAGAATGTGAGTTACGAGGTCTAAAATAGACAGAAGAAGATCTCGAGCTGCAGTTTGAGCCTTTCCCATAAGTTCAACAGTTGGTTCTTGTTGTCCGGTAATCAAAATACTTCCATTCTTCCCGTTCTGTGAGAGATACACCCCGATACTTCCTCCTTTTAAAAGTTTAGAGACTTCGTCCACTCGTGGTCTAGCAGCTTCTATTGCAGCAGCCCGCGCTTTAATTTCCGCAGTTATCATGTCATGTACAGTTGGTCTCAACCTTTGACTGCACGTCCAAGAATTTGAAATAAGTAATACTTATTTCAAGAACTTGAAATCACAAACGGGCTACAAGAGCGAATATCTGAATCACTTAGAATCTCCCTCCACTGTAAATCACAAGTATCCAAGGGAATAAACTAACCTAATAATGCTTCCAGCAGCAGTAATCTTGCCAAGTAATGCAAGGCATTCCACCATAGTCTGTAGATATTTCACGCCTTGAGGAGCATCACTCTTCAACAGATATTCCTGCAGGGTAATATCGGAGATCAATCCCGACTAAAGCTGATATAGAGAGGCAGCAAAATGGACCAAACCCAAATCGAAGCAGTGTACAACTCCAAACAATACCCGGGAAAAGAATTTAACGCACTGTAAATTCGTTTGGGGTTGATTCAGCTAACCACACTGGCGCAACCCGAGACAGTTTTCCGTCGTCCTTTGAAATACCATCATCGTTGCCATTACTCGCCCCTCGGTTACCATTAGTTGCTTCAGACTGTTCATTTTCTCCATTCATTTTCTCCATTTTCTCCATGTTATCACCATCAACTGATGATCTACAGTAAAAGAGCACAACACAAGTTTACACATAAATCAAAATCCAGTCGCAAAGTATTCTTGTCTTTGTGATGCACGATAAAAACCACTCCATGAACTGCAACCAGCTCATCATATGTCAAAAACCTGCAGCACATTTCAAAACCTTACTCTATGTGAAAGAGAAGAATTAACCATGTAATCAACCATTTCCTCAATGCATAGGTACACTCGTTCCTCAACTCGAATGAAATAGGCGCTGGAAGGCCACAATACACCAGAGACATAAGTTCTACACGAATAGTAATAGGACAGACATTCACAATTAGGTGTAAACTCGACACCATTGAAAACCTTACCCATCAACAGAACCAGCTCGTCTAGCTTCCAAAACACGATCTAGACCAGATTTCCACATCTGCCGCATAGTTCGCGTGCGCCTTGACATGGTCACGTTTCCACTTGTTGGGACAACAGCAGGAGCAATGTTGGAGATATCATCGTCCTGATCGTGTGCAGCTGCCAAATTTACACTGCTCAACAAACACCAGGAGCTCATTACTACCGCCAACTTAGAATGTCGAAAGCGGGGAAAAAACGTCGATAATAGACAAAGATACGGGAGGAAAACATTATTAGAAAAAGTAAAATGGTACGATATCAATGGCCCAAAAGTCCATGTAACTACCTATATTCACCCTTGTTGTAGAGATGGAGATGCAAATCCTCTACAACTTTATGGAAAAGCACACCACGAAGCTTAGACAACTCACTCCGCACATCTTGAAGCGCTCCTACCTGCAATTGTCAACTCACGGGCAGTATTTTTAAAAGCGCATTTTCGATTAAATACAACCAGACCTTCAATTATTAGGTCCCTTGAGTTCACTGGTTTATAACATAATCAATGTACATAATTATCTTCGTATAACAAATTTTGATATATTGTTGAGGAATAGTTTTACTGTGTGCATATCCAATGAGGTACCTTGCCCTTTCTTATGGGGTCATCTGTTTCCCAAATCTGGACGGAAGATAAGGTTAGCGATTTAAACAGAACAAAAATGCCTTGTAAAGAGTCAGCTAACGTTTTCTCAGATAAAATAGTTCTGAAGACACTACGTTCAGGTCAAAATCAGAGCGGACACCATAGTTAATACGAAGCACACAATATGGTCTTTATGCAGCTAATACCACTGGAAATTTCCGACCATGTTTAAAGTGATGATGATCTTAAACGCTTACTGATTTGTTCAATTCTTTATGATACTATCCACAGAGGATGTAAGTTGCTGAGATATTCAGATGGATGAATCTTTCCGCAATAAACAATCATGAATTCATCCACAGAAATTAACGAAGGAAAGGTTCACAATCATAGAACTTACTGACTGGATGCCTTCGCGGTCTAGCATACTAATAGAATGAAGGTGGAGTTGCACAGCGGAATAGTAACGCTTCTCAGAAATCAACTTCTCTATCCTTGCTGGAACCTGTCAACAAAACTCTTCAGAATCAAATCCAGCGAAAACTGCAGAAAAAATATCTGCTTCGACTTCGAAATCATCAGGAGCAATATATGCTATATGTTCTGCTTCCTTTCGATCGAACTTAAAATCGTTGAAATAATTCGACAAATGTTGCGCTACCATTTAATGACAAGGCTTCGCAAATAAGGAAGTAAGCATGTAGATCAAGAGCGCAGGATAGAAACCTGTGCAACTTTGTCAATTTGATCAAGCAGGGTGATAACGTGGCGCAAAGTCACGGAGCGACACCATTGCTGATGTAACTGCTTATGCCGAGCACCTAGTAATCGGCGAGCCTCTCCTAAATCGTCTTTCAATCCATTTATGCTTCCAGCAGATTCACTAAAAAGCCGCAATATCTACCAAGTGCACCAGAGCATCAACAGTTCGATGTTTAGAAATAAAGACCTCAGAGACACTGACGAAGACTTGGCTCAAACTCGAGAACTGATAAATATCTAAACGAACATCGTTATGCGAACCTGCGAGTAGTTATGAATCGCTTTGTTGAAGCCATTGTGGTAAATGCGAACAACATCATCCACGAGTTCCTCAATTGCATCTCTTTGCTCACGTAATTTCTCCAAAGCAACCTCTGGATTACGAGAGGTGAGAACTCCAACTACATGTGGTAAGGAGTCGAACCGAGGCTGCTTCCACACGTCATCAATATTTTGAAGCTCTTTCTTGACTACCTACAAAACAAAACAAAACAAAACATACGAATATTCATTGATCACCTGACACTCATCACTACAAACCTGCACAAAAGATCTAAATTGCAACACTTCACACTATCAGTAAGCCAAATGTCCAGGTTGAAGACCAAAGGTCAAATGTATCAGCTTAGAATTATATCTTAGCATATGGACCACAGATTGCAAACGCTGTAAACAGTGTAAAATCTTATTCATTTTTGCAAATCAATTCACAGATTGTCAAGCGGCATGCTACTGGTGAACAGTATTTTACCCAAAACATGAATGACTTCCAACAATGTAGAACTTAGCTACCTCAGTTTCCAAGCCACTTAAGAACCTCGTTTAAACTGCAGCTACACAGTTGCAGTTTAATCTATCTCTATCCAATTCAAACGATAAGGCACTATACAAAGACAATAATAATAATAGAAAAATTGGAACAGGCCTATTAAATTCATGTACAAACTCATGAAATGAACATCGTTTTCTGTGAGCTGTGCACTTCAACTTGATGAACTCTTGCATACCCAAATAACTCCAATTATATATAGCATGTACTCGACGTGTCTTAACTACCTCTTCGATTAAACTAGGTGAATTAGGTCAAAGAATAAGTACGGTGGGCAGGATCATGTAAGGGAAAATAATCGGAAAAGCAAAATGAGCAATACGAAGTTCATTATCATAAAAGAACAGATCTGCAACACAACCAGGTCCATGACAGTTTCTGCAAAGATTCTTACACCAGTAACGAATCTGAACGAGGGAGTGATTCGTGGTGCTTACATTCCAATCAACTAATCCAGAGGGACCTGTAGTCATTGTGCCGCCTCGTCTTGCAACTCATGCGCACGATCTCACTTGCAGCCGAATCTTGTGGGGATAATCAATAAACAAGGCATCGGATACGAACCCCAAGCTGTTCAAAATAAAGATATAAGCAGCATTTCATGAACAGATTTCGAAAATATTAAAAACATGGACGAAAAATTAGAAAAAGTCAGGTGTTTAGAATAATAAAAACTTGTAAAAAATCTGTTACAATACGACAGTTTGTTGTTATAACGAACTACAAGTATTACGGTCAAGATGACGACTGAAAATTTTTCTTAGGAAGAAACTTAAGAAAGCGTCGAAATTCGTGAAGAATCAAATGATTCGCATGCTTGCTCAAGTACTTTCAGAAACTCCATCAGTCGCGACACAGCTAAATCTCGACAAAATCGCTTCAAATACGTTCCTTGGTCAACTACAGACTTGACGAGAAACAAAACTGGTGTACAATGTGGATATTCCCACACACCTACTCAATCTAGCGAATGATTGTGACTGGAGATGAAAGAATTGGAGAACCCTAAACCCCCACGGTGTGATTACTTGTGCTTTAGAGAAACACAGTATAACTGATCGAGACGGGTTTAAGTTCAAGCATGTGAATCGGGAAAGAGACCCTGGATATTTGTATGATATAAGGTAGAAGTAAAGAAGACCAAACATTTACCAAATCACAATGAAGTATATGGAATTTGATCCACAACGGGACCTCTAGAGTCGACCGCAGCAGCAGCTGACATGCCTATGGAAAAAAAGGCCCGAGCTTTT